TCAGATATAAGAATTATTATTTAATCATAAAATGAAATATCATAATTTTGATGTGTTCATGAAAGCTATAAAGACTTTGACATGGCCGAAGACACCTCTTCTGTTTTCTTTATTCTGTTAAAGACTTTTTTATTTATTTTTTTTTTACTTTGTGGCGTCTATGTGATGAACGGACTGTAGCAAAAGAGTCCAAATCGGTTTTGAATTGTAATATTTTCGAACGTTACATTTAATTTTGAGCAAAATAAATAAACAAACAAAAAAAAAAAAGTGAGAAATTAAAAAATATTATCTGTAGTCGTGCATAAAGCGTCAGATTATTGCGCAGGTTGAACTTAAACTTTTTGTTTCATTTTTAATTTCACGCTAAACGAATTTTCTATGTCCACTGTCTGCAAAGTGTAGCTACCGATTTTCATACTTAAAAAAAAAAAAATAATAAGACAACACTTTGCATATGCGGATATGGTCGATATACTTCTTAAGATTTAACATAATATCTTCTGCAAAGCTTTGCCTACATTGGTGTGACATTGTCCCAGTTTACGGTTTCGACATATCGAGAAGAATCACCTTTGTTTATTATGCTTGTTTTATTATTTTCGTTTTTAGTTTTTTTGTCTTTTGTCTTTAATATTTAATGTTTGACTTTTTTTCTTGTTCTACAACCGCCGCAGTAGTATGTGCATGTGTGTGTGTGTGTGTGTATCGCTTTTAGTTTTCATATTCATAAATATATGCAAAGTTTATAGTACTTATATGTATATATGTATGTATGTATATATATTTATTATGTTTGTCTGTTTAATTTGCGTATGCGACGAGTTGACTTTTTGGCGGTGCGTGTATATTTGCATAAGCGTTGATTGTGACCGAGCAACCGTTCGGATGGCTTGAGCCTGTTTTTGATCTTCTTCTAAGCATTGACTGTTTTCTCTTATGGCCTTTTTCACATCACTTAAGCAGCGCACATTAATTTTGCTGATAAAAAAAAAAAAATATTGGAAATAGACTAAAATAGTTAATATTGTGCGATCGTTTTCAGTTTCGTATGTTCAGTCGTCACGTGGAACTTAAGAAGTGCGGATTATGCAACGCGGAAGGTTCTTGCTTAATCAAAACGGTGTTCTAAAGTGGTGATTAAACTACACTGTCATACTGTTAGTGTTTAAATTAAAATAAACTATATACGTATATATATATATATTAACGAAAAATATTCTTGTGAGCTGTAATAAATAAAACAATAGCAAAACAATTGAAAAAAAAACATTAAAATAAAAGACATTTATTGTGAAAAAAAAGTTTTTTAAATTATTTCACCAAAAAAATGCATAATAATCAAAAATCAATGACATGAAAGAAGTAGAAAAATGATTATATAGGAAGTGAAACAAGTAAATGAAGCAAAGTTGAAATTTAATAAAAAAAATTCAAAAAAGTATTGGTATTATTCCAATAATAATATTAAAAAATATATATAAGTGCTGAACGCACACATATACAAATTCATACCTGCTACAAATCATGTACATATGTAACTTAATTTATGCTAAATCATCAAAAAGTTATTTAAGGGCATGGACACCTGTTTTATATCGTAAAAAACTTTTTTTTTACTTTTGCTTCAAATTATGTCAATAATTTAAATAAATGTATTTTGCAATAATTAATAATAAATATTATCGAAATGAGAAATATTACGTGCGAATAAAGTGCAAAATCTCAATTTTGATTTTTTATATATTTTTTATACCTTTCATGAATATACAATGTATATATGTATGTATGTTTAAAAATTTTGTTCTGAAATATGTATGTGAGTACAGGAGAGAGAGAGAGAGAGAGATCCATCAAAATGTATACCGATCGTATCGAAATGACGAGCTGAGTTGATTTAACCATATCCTTCTGCACACCCGTCTTTGTATTTGTCTGCACGCAACTTGGGCTTTTGGTTTGTGGGATGTTCAACCGCTCATTTGCGTACCGTATTTTTATGCTGTACTGATTTTGATTCGTCGGAATCTATAACATATATTTGACTGAATCTTCCGGTTTGTGATTTTAGGTACAAAATGCATCTGAGAGCGAGAAAAGAACACGAAGTTCGAGATGTTAATGTTCGGCTAAGCCTCTTCTTGTTTTCTTGTCTCTTTTGTTTGAACTTATAATCAAAATTACCAAAACAAAATGAAAAAAAAAAATTCTCCTACCTCGTATTTTGGGGTTATAGCTGGGGATAAACTTCTCTGAAGAAATGCTCAAAAAAATGATACAACAAATAAGACTTATAAAAAGAATTATTCCTCATCGTAGTCCCAATGTAACTGGAAGAGTATGTAAACCTTGAAAAGTTCCAGTTAACTAATCATCTTTCTAAGAATAATTTAAAAATCCATAAATTATAGTATTCTTAAATACCAACACTCAAAACTAGAGATAAAGTTTATTCCAAATACTATCTGGCTGAGATTGTAACCCCTACGAGTGTATGAGTGAGATGAAATTCTAATAAAAATCCAACAGCCGTTCGGCTTAATGTATGTCCCTCAATTTGTTGGAAAAATATCCTGACGCATACCATTTTTGTATTTTTTTTGTTAAGAAGCTTGACCGAAAATCGCTTTAGCGGTAATAAAGCGGCAATCATATAAATTACAATAATTTAAATTTTTAACAGTTGATCTGTACCGTAATAATACAGTATACAGTAGACTATTTATATCTTTCGTTAGATATGTAATTACAAATGTTGCTTGATTAAAAATTTTAAAAATATTTCAAATGTGCGGCTTCTTGATTAAGAAAAGATTTTTTAAAAACCTGACCTAAAGTTGAAATCTCAAATAGCTCGAACTTGTTGCATTTTTCCACAAGCTGGCTCTACAGAGCACTCCTTTAGGAATATCGATCTTCAGTTTCGAAGTCGTAACCAAATACCTACGCTTCGTTGCCGGTTATAAAATCATTTTAAGCAAACCAGTATCATTATTGATTTCATTCAACAAAATCTAAGCTTGAGCAGCGCTTGACGGTTATTTTTGTCGAAATTTTAGGAATTCAGCAAAAGCGCTTCGCTGCCAAAACGTTGACGAAAAATTGCATTGCACCAATTCGTTGTGCTGACATTTTCAGAAACTTCACTCATAATTCAATTGTTGTAACAAGATTTTTCACTTCCAGGGCGAGTGAAGATATTCCTTCAACTTCTTGGTTTTGTGTGAAATGCTTGTACCACTTGCAAATACTTTCTTTTAATCCGCGTGCATTCAATAAAATCGAATGAAAAAAGGTCTACTTAACTCTTCGCACCAGTATGTAGAGAGCGTACATTAGGTTTGTTCGGCTAACATTCAGCTAACATCATGGTATGGTGAGACAAATCGATTTAGACATGTCTGTCTGTCTGTCCTCCTTACTTGAATAGATATTTTGATAACACTTGAATCACTTATTCTTTGGGTCACTAGTATGGTAGCTAATACAATATAACGGTAATTTCGAAAAGTACGGGAATCATATGTTTTAGGGACGTTCATCTTATATGAAGAAATATGAAATGAAAAATATCTAGAGATATCTAGAGACCCCGTATAATTCTTTCTTTAAACAAAGGACCTTAGAAGGATTTTTCGATTCTTACTCTGCTACTTTTGAGGTTCCAAGTAAAACTCGCTTGCTTCTATGCAATTCAGTATAATAAGTATATGTGCTTATTTAACAGTTAGAAAATGTTTGCGGAATCATTACAGGGTTGCATAATATGTTATTGCTATTAGGGTTACATTTCAACAAGGATAAGCATAGTGAGGCAGTGAGGCATCGGGTTGATCATTTCAGGTTGGTACCAATAAGTATTAAAAATCGCTTCTAAGGTGCTGAGAAAAAAATGTACTTATGTTGAGAAAATCTTAATTTCTTCGAGAACTTTAATAAAAATCATAAAGTTTTGGTATCGAAGTATTCTCTCTATTGGTATTAACATGTCCTGAAATGTGAGTCGGAAATCATTATCCTTGTTTTGTCATTTTGAAATAAATAAATAAAATTGTTTTTTATAGTGCCTCACAGGTGCAATATTTAAGAAAAAAAAAGGCGATTCTTTGGTCAAAAAAGCTGCAAAAAAATAATATTAAAAGATATTAGAACAGAAAGCAAATGTTTTAGGCCCATTTGAAAGCCAAGCCCGTTTTGTTTTTGGAAAAAATAACTAAGATAACTAGTTTCGGCAAATATATTCGACTTTGCCCATCCACCTTGCAACTATTTAAATTTTTTATATAAAAGTTAATGTCATAAATATTTAATTCAAGAACTATCTCTATCCACATTTGAGTTTGGTGAATTCAATAAAAAATACTAGTTTATGGTCAGCAGTTTAATTCCTTTCGACACAACCAGTTTATAAATTAGGAAAGAGTAAAAAATCCTAAAATCAAAATTTAAATAAATTCAAGTAATCACACGGGGAAGCACATACAAAAAAAAATGCACAATTAAATTATTTATATATCTACAAGAGAATTATGAACTTATGTCCATCATCACCTGCCATCGGCGTGTCAAACCAATTAACTCTGTCTGCTGAGTGAGATTATTTGCCATTTCCAGGAAACTTTTCAATTATAAGTCATTTCATGCAACTTTTATCTCACTTTACACTATATTTATGATTTGTTTTTGCCATTCCACAAACACTTTTAATGAGTATATTTACTTTTAGTAGTTAAACAATTACTTAAAAATAACCGTAATTTAACAGACACCAAACAAAAAAGTTTAGAATTTACGTATATTTACTTATTTAATTCACTTTACTATTTGCTTGGTAAATTCTTAAGTGCCTTAACTGTGTAAAACCAAATACGAGTATTTCTCAAATAAATATTTATTTAAAATATTCACATTTAATGAGATCTTTTCACTCCAAATAAATAAATAAATAAACAATATTTGAAACAAATTAACATTTTCAATATTTCTCCTTACATTTGTAGATATATTACCTTGTGCATCGAAGAAAGAAAACAAAGCGGAAATCACCACGCGGTAAAACCGTTTGAAACGGAAATAAACACAACTAAGTACAACAACCATACAAACTAAACAACATAATGTCCGCTGTACGAATGAATGATACGAACACGATTGTTGATCGTATGGTCAACTTTCTGGTGGAGCATGAGGATATGCGCACGAAGAGTTGGTTTCTCTCAAACGCACCCGGACCGCTTTTTATGATTTTGGCCGGCTATTTGTATTTCTGTTTGTATGCAGGTCCACGTTATATGCGTGATCGTAAACCGTTCGAGTTGAAGAATACGTTGTTGGTATATAATGCTGTGCAAGTGCTTTTCAGTTGGGTGTTGTTCTATGAGGTGAGTTGGTGGCGTAAATAATAAGAATGCTATAATAATATTGAGAAAATAAAAATATTTAAAAGTTAAAATAAAATACAATTAAATACCATAAATGATTTTCTTTACATTTTTTCAGGGTTACAAAGCTGGCTGGGGTGGTCACTACAATTTCCGTTGCCAACCGGTCAACTATGCGACAGATCCGATTTCCATGAGGGTAGGTATAAATTAAGCCCGGCTCCATTATGCACTTGCACATGTAGCTTAATTAAAGATTTAACCGCTATCAAGGCTTGATCCAGAAGATGAAAAGTTTAATATTGTAAAATATTTTCATGCACCTAAACCTAAATGTTCGTTTACATATGCGAGCTTAAATCACAATTCGGGTTCTCGCAATTCAAACGGTTTAGCCTGCTCGGTAAGCTGATGAGCAGTAACAATTGTTACGAACTTTTACTGAACCACGTTCTTGGGACGAAATTCAGTAAAATTTGCGCCGAGAGCGCGATTTTAATATTTCGCCACTGGCTACTTCTTTCTCACATTTGTCACCGAACAGCGCTATTCATAATACAGATGAAATCATGATACAATAATTTAATGGTAGTTTCATTCTGTCTTCGCAGTCGGCTTCATAGATATCTGGCCTTAAACGGGATTTTGTTTTTTTCGTCCTATCAGTGAAAAATCCATATTTCAAAATTGAATAAGTTAAAAAAAAATTTATAGATATAGAAATTTATAGATAATCCCAGTAGGATTTGTTGTTGGGTTTATTCAGAACCACGATCACTTCTCTACTTCTCGGAGAATCGAAGTACGATTTGCCTCAATAAAATGGTCCCACTAAAACGATCCACCTACAAACATTAAGCGATCTACTCCAAAATGCACCATTTATAGCTGCGAGATGGTGTAAGGATAGTGGGTTGGAAGTAAACCCCGATAGAAACGAAATGAGTTTATATACCAGGAGGTACAAACCGCATGCCTTGGAACCACCTAAATTAAAGGGCATGGAGATCATGCTCTCTACCGCAATATTCCCCGTAAGCAAATTTGAGGTGTAATTTTGCGGTTACAACAACAACTACATGCTCTTCCCATGTGTCCAACCGCTTTCGAAATAGCAGAGAACTTGACATAGAACATAATACAACGATCTAGTAACACCTCCTACAACTCAACCATCAACTTTTGAATCATATGTATAAATATACTTCACTGCTCCTAACCGTAGTATCACACTTATTTGCCCTTTCCTCAAGGTCGCTTATAAATGACAAAATTTATTAAAGTTGTAAAGCCACCCATCGCCTAGTGCATTTCTCAGATGAAATAAAAACCTCAAAATGAAAATGTTTCGCGGTTTAGTGGTGGCTTAGAATAAACTGCAGGTCCATACCTTTTTTTTGAAAAAAAGTCAAGACGCACACCCCAAATAGGAGTAGGAGCTCAGCCGCAAAATCGGCTTCAGCGTTTATAAAGCGTCCTTTATACCTATGTATGTATGTTTCTACTTCTTTGACAGATGGCGCGCGCTGTTTGGTTGTACTACATTGCTAAACTGACGGAGCTGCTCGACACCGTGTTCTTCGTTCTGCGTAAGAAACAACGTCAAATCTCATTCCTACACTTGTAAGTAACACTATCAGCGGTGTTTTGTTAAGCAAGAAAAGAAAACTAATGGAAATTATTTTATTTGACACAATCAGGTACCATCACACCTTAATGCCCGTTTGCGCTTTCATTGGTGTTAAATATTTCGCCGGTAAGTATAATTTTGGATTAGCCAAAAAGTATTTGAAATTTGGAATTCCATCTCGGTGTATTTTTTATTAATTTAATTTTTTTTGTCCTTTTTCCCGTTTTTTTTAGGCGGTCATGGCACTCTACTCGGCTTCATCAACTCTTTCATACACATCATCATGTATGCCTATTATCTACTCTCAGCCATGGGTCCCAAAGTACAAAAGTATTTGTGGTGGAAGAAATACATTACCATACTGCAAATTGTAAGTTGTACATACGAGTGTATATATATGTGTATTTCAATGGGAAATTTCTTTTAACGAACGTCCATCTAACACCTACAGATCCAATTTCTCATCATATTCGTGCACACCCTCCAAATTCAATTCCAACCAAGCTGTGATTTCCCCAAGCCAATTGCTGCACTGCTCACATTCAATGCCGGCCTCTTCACCTACATGTTCAGCTCTTTCTACATCAAGAACTACAACAAGGAGGCGGCACAGAAGGCCAAGGCGGATGCTGCTGCTGCTGCTGTCGCTGGCGTGAAACAGGATTGAGGTGTTCAATTTTACAGCTATGCTTTGTCCTACATTTATTTCCTTACTGTTTGGCACTTTCTTTGTGCGCTGATTTGCGTTACTGTTATTCAGTGCGATCGGCCACACTTGATTAGACTGCGAGGGTGTTTTTTGTTATGAATTCTTAGAGAGCCGGCTAAAGTGATTTGGTTGCCGAAATGGAATAGCACCTGTGACAGTTGACGATAAAGGGTTGGTTTCAGTTATGATTTTCTTTTAATTAAATTTTAAGGAAATCAGAAAAAAAAATTATAATAATAACAAATGAAAAAAGATCTTATGAAAGCGTAGTTAGTGTACGAAAATTAGCCAGTAGTTTTGTAGATTTGTACTTGTACACACACATTTACAGACATACGTACATACAAACATACATATGTATTTAGTTAATAAATTCAATGTAATTTAATTTTAGCCTAAGGGTCACACGTAATTGTAAGTACTCGTACATTATGTATTTGTGTAGGTAAATTAAAGAAAAAAATAACAAAAATGTTTTAGTTTTAAATCGATCGTTGCGCTTTTCGTTGAAAAAGTTCATACCTAACCTTACTCCGATATCACAAAAATCGATATTCATTATCGAATAATTTGAAGAAGAAGTGCAATTGAACCAAAAATTATAATTTAGTTTGAATTTTACATACATACGAGTATGTGTGTAATAAATGTAATTATTCTTGAATTTATGTAAATCTCTACCGACACACATGCACATATACAAGGAATCTGTATAGACATGCATAATATATATACATATGTATCAAGTTTAAAATGCAATAACAATTTGTGCTTACTATAAGTGAACAGTTAACATATACATATAAACATATTATATTATGACTGTATTCGTCTACATTACGGTGTTAATGAAAATAATATTTAAAATAAGAAAAACAAAACAAAACAATTATATAGTTAAACGAAATGTAATTCTTTTTGGAATCTTTCACTGTTCAATAAAAATAATATAATTTATGTACAAAAGTAAATTAAGCATATAAGCATTAGCTTCATCCGGAATTTTGTAAAAATTATGTATCGGTTCGCTTGATTTTTTACTCCGTTTGTATATATGTATAATAAATATTTAAAACGAATAAATATTTTTACACAGAAGAATTTGGCATTATTTCCTTTTGCTGTCTCCTTATTTACACGTAGCTGAGTTTACAACAGCGCGGTCATTCTGAAGACCAGGGGTTGAGGTCCGGTTCGACCAACATCCAAAATTATAAAAGATCAATTTTTCTAAGTGCTGTCGCCACTCGGGGGAAAATATGAAGCTCTCCGACTGTATCTCTGACATGAAATCAAAGCTATTCTTAAAGAAAGCCATCAGTCGTTCGCACACCACAATTGGTGTGCTGAAATGGGAAGTCTTGCCCCACCCGCCGTATTCCCCAGATGTCGCCCCTTCTGACTTCTATTTATTCCGTTCGATGGCACACGGCCTGGCAGATCAACATTTTCAATCCTTCGAAGAATTGGAAAAATGGATTGCTGCATGGTTACCGTCAAAAGAGGACTCCTTTTTTCGAGCCGGGATCCGAAAATTGCCGGAAAGATGGAGGAAAGTTGTCGCTAGCGAAGGATAATACTTTGAATAATATATATGTAAGCACTTTTTCGCAATAAAGCTTTTAATTTTGGAAAAAAACGGCGGAAGCAAAGTTGTACACCCTATACGCAGTGCTAATTACGCGGCTAATGCGGTTTATGTATATATATAATATTATATATCCTCCCTTTTAAAGGAAGGACCCTAGGTTTGGTAGCAGTACAAACCAGACTGTATTCACCACTCGTCAGGAAAGGTCAAACTTTACGAGTGTATTTCGGACATAAAACATTCATAAATATCTGTCAGCAATTTGGAGAATCCGTTTGTTGGCGCCAATTGGAAATGCCTAGTACAGTAAGGTCCTTCTCTACCTGGTCTTTTCAACAGAGTGCAGGTATTCCTCTGTCTGTGCTTCCACCGAATGTGCATCGCATCGAAAATTTCCAAAACTGGATTGTTCAATGTTACCGCTGAACTATGAAAATCTTTTCCAAAACTTTCCTCAACCTATCAAAAACTAACAACGCCGACTGAACAGATGTTTTCATCGCCCATACCTCCGTAGCATATGGCAAGATGTCGAGAGAGGACTTAACTATTCAATTCCCCATTTCGTCCAAAGTAGAGCTTGTTGACCAGAGCTCTATTGTTCCAAGATGACTGTTTATTTGATGATAGGAAATATTTCGTCTTGCCTTGTTCACCACGCTTCGCTTCGCAGAGTTTATGGCACGTTTTTTTTTTTTTTTGGGCAATGATGTCAATATCGATGTCGATATCAGCACTTGTAGAGCCTATATTCAACGCTGCAGCTCGTATTATTTTCCCAGCAAAAAATTGAGGAATTCACAAGATAAGAAGTAACCTTCGTAGGCCAGTCTATACAACCGTTTAAGTTTTATGTGCAGCTTTAAAATTTCCAAGATTCGACGTTTGGTGAATATCTGGTCAATTGTATTTTTTCCAAGTTTAAGGCCACACAGATAAGATCCACTCAGTTTGTTGGCGGTGGACTTTTGTTATTTTTATTATTATATATATTAGGTTTATTCTATGGTAATCGGTGAAGCTTATGGGGTTTTGTGGATTTGGCAGAGCTAGATCCCAATCGTCGGGCATGTTTTTATATGATCATATTTTTCAAAGAAATTGATGCATGCACCTTGACAGTTCCAATAGCTCGGTCGGTAGTCCATCGGTTTACGCCGTTTGCGATTGCTACTTTTCGCATAGTCGCATAGTCACATCACGATCGATTGTGAAATCGGAGCTACATATCGCTCTGTCTCATTTTAGAGAAGAGCGGTGTAAGACTAGAACTAAAGCAAAGCGATAACAAATCTGGAAAACCGCTCTTAGTAACATTTTCTTTCGAGTTTCGTCTAGTAGGCAATTGTGTGACTCTCACTTGACTTCCCCAGAGATTAGAAGGGAAAATTTGATAACAGGCTCGTTGTCAAGCATGGTTTTCGTCTGCCAAATTCGTATAGTGATTTTCAAACCTTTGTCCATTTATGAGGAGTTCAATTGTTTGGGCTTAAGAGTACTTTCGGTAAACTTTTTCGGATAACTAAGCGGAACTAGAGGTTCTAAAACCTCAGAAACAGTAGAAAACTATTATGATGGCTTAGCAGTTTTCTTTGAATCTGATAGCGGTGATGAAATACAATCACATGCCGGTAACGTGATATCGTCCCAATTTGCCGGGAAACGCACTTCCCTTCCAATTTCGTGAGTTGGAACATGCTAATCTCTACTATCAAGCTGAAAAGAAGGGAATAAACAAGATCACAAGATGAAAATTCTTACAATGCAGCCATGGTAATTTTTTGCCGACATGGCAAAATAGTGGTTCGCGAGAGTTCTTCTTGTTAAACATTTATTTTTAGACATCTACAAATATAGCCGCTGGGTATTTTCTATTAGCCCGAACACAAAGGGACTGGGCATACAGGAGCTGTAGAAAGGGGATAAAACTTGAAAACTTAAAAGCCGATTCACAGTGGAGTTTTGTCTCAATTTACGCCGAAGTTAAGTTTGACAGATATACTATATTTATAAGAGTAAGTATGCATAGGAAGTAGCTCCGGCGAGGCACAAAAGAGTAAAAATAACTCAAGAATTTTTTTTATCGTAAAATTTAAATTGTCGTGTTTCAAAATATCCGGAGATTGAGGATATCCGAGGATTGATTTTTCGAATAGCACAATTTCGCATAATGGACTCACTAAAATATTGTTACTTTCATGTCTCTGAGGTCATGACGACAGCGCTGCAGGATCTAGATTACATTTTCATAATTTTGGACAGATTGCGGACAGTATGTGACCTGCCAGAATCGACGAAAGAAATAAGAGACTATTTCACCACTGCCGCCAGAAATCGACTCCGTTTGTCAACAGTTCTGAGCAAGTTGGTAATAAATTAATAAAATAACTAACTGTCAAAGATTATTCTTCTGTAAATAATTTGTCGGTGTCTGATAGTTCGCTGTTAACTAGCGATGAAATAGTCTCTTAGCAATCCAGTAGGTGGAACAAATGGCGGTCCTTCTCTTTAATATTCGTTCTCTGCATATATTGTAACATTAACATTAATAATCAGTAAAAATTAAACATTCACATGGATACGGTATCAACAATCGGATATGTTATCGATAATTTCAAAATTTTCAGCAATAATGTGGCATCGCCTCTAATGACAACGAAGCAAAGAAAAGAGTAGAAGTCAAAACGAAAAAAATTTATCGCAATTAACAAGGAAATCACAATCAGATTTAAAAGAAAAGAAATTATTTAAGCAGTTTATCCTTAATAAAAAATTAAGTAACCTACTGGAAAGTGTAAAACATATACTTCACCATTGATAAAGTATTGTGTGTAAATAAATATCGAAGCCGCATAAAAACTTTGCACTGCGAAGCAATCCGAGTCATCTGCTCAGCAACAGCAAAAGTGCATAGAAGGGGCGGATTACAGCGGTGACAACGAAAAGTGCAAGACAAATTTATTGAAAATTCTCGAATACCGTATAATATTTTTCATATCGCTAATAGACCTGTGATTTCATTAAATACCGATATATAACTAGCGCTGATATATTTGGTGTGAAAACTTATAACTTGAGAATCTTTCATACTCGGGGGATACGTTACCATATACACAAACAACCTTACACACACATATATATTCAGAATCCCTCCAGCATAAGCTATTTCTACTTAATTTGGGAAAAAGGAAATACATAAAATGATGGTTGAATCCGATGGTACTGCTGATGCTACACGACGCCTCAACGTCAAGAAACAAACTCTTGACGATGCTTATGCGGTGCCAGCAAATTTCTTAGAAATCGATGTGGTCAATCCACTGACAACTATGGCAGCAGGCAAGAAACGCTATACGGACTATGAAGTCCGAATGCGGGTGAGTGACCTACACTATTTTTTTTTTTTATTGCAAGCTAATTATGTTTCGTTGAATGGGCACATCATGTATAAGTACATAAATAGATTAAATTAAAAAATCCTCTGTACGTTCATTTTAGGGCAAGTATAATCATTTGTATTTTCAGCCTACTAGAAAATATTCGCCAAACAAAGATTAAATGTAATTCATATCAGTTAGTCTGTTTAAGAATTAATTCATATGTATGTATGTGTTAGTCATAACGCTTGCATTTCATTTATCAATGACATTACTCATTATGTTTTTAGGGCAGTATTAAATGAGATTTATAATTTCGCATATGTATATATACATATTATATATATCTGCAAGTATATATGTTCATATGGTTAAATACATTTGTTTCCTCTATTCTAGACAAATTTGCCAGTTTTCAAAGTAAAAGAATCTAGCGTACGTCGTCGATACAGCGATTTCGAATGGCTGAGGAATGAACTTGAACGCGATAGCAAGGCAAGTGGAAAAAAAACAATTAATAATTATTTCTCAATGTATAATTTATGTACATTTAATAGATTGTTGTTCCGCCCTTGCCTGGAAAAGCATGGAAACGCCAGATGCCATTTCGCGGCGACGAAGGCATATTCGATGAAAATTTCATTGAAGAGCGGCGCAAGGGATTAGAAGCCTTCATTAACAAAATTGCTGGCCATCCATTGGCGCAGAATGAGCGGTGCTTACATATGTTTTTGCAGGAGAATGTGATCGATAAGAACTATGTGCCCGGCAAGATTCGTAACACATAAAAGGCAATAGGTTAAGGTCCAACAAGATTGCGGGGAATGTGTGCCGAAAGAAAAAAGTGGTTGTTAATGTTACTCGAGTGCACACGTACTGGGGTATTATGCTGAATGAAATGGGGAAAAATATAAAAAGTAAATATAAATAAACATATGCATACATACATTGAGAGATTTAACTGCTCAGAAGGTTTTCTTTTTCAAAATTCGCGTTTATATAACATTTAAATAATATATTTATTGTATGAAATGGTCGTTATAGATAATCTACTATATGCATATACATACATACATCTATTTTCGAATTCTAATACTATTTTATCTTTAATAATGTGCCGACAAAAAAATATAAATATATAAACATAAAGTAATAAATGAAACATTGCAAAAGGCTTATAAAATTGAAATAAAGCTGATTAAAAATGAAGAATAAGATTTAGGACAAAAATGAAGAGATAAATATTTGGTAGTACGATCAATCGAACAAAAATTGTATATTATTATTATTAAATACATATATGTAATACCTTATAATTGCAAAGTAGTCATTTTGACGTTATGTATTTTGTAAAAAAATAAGTTATGTTTACAAATAATTGCGGATTTCTAAAGTTGTTCTATGAAGTGAAAGAAATACAAGTTTAGAAATGGGGTCTGTTAAATTTTTTTACGTAGCAGGCAATAGTCTTGTATAAACGAAAGAGTAAATAAATTCCTAAATGTACATTTAATATCGTATAATGTAGGTGTTTTGCTATGCTAGGGAATTAACATAACACCTTAAAAATAGAGAAACTCAATGCCTTACGTTATGTTGACGTTAACTGTGAAGGCGAAATGCAACTCTGTTATATTGTTATGTTATAAGCACAGGGCTGTTACGGCAACATCTGTTTAAGCGCTGTCCACAGAGGAAGTTGTATTTATTTGAGTATATAAAATGCAGGAAATATTTCCAAACGAAGATCAGGACAACAAATATGAAACAAATACTGTGGTGGAGCAGGAATACAAGTTAATTGAAAAAGCCTATGAAGAATTCAGCAGGTAAACACTACTGTATAACTGTTAAGTCACAGCTTTATTATATATATATTTATATATGTTGCATATGCATACCTCTTAGCCGCCAATATGATCGGTGTTTGGACACTCTCAACGAATTGGAGCAATGTAGTGGTAGTAATAACAAATTGGAACATAATCGAGCAGTAGCAAAATTCTACCAATCAGGATGTAAAGATCATGCTACCCTCTTAAAAACACTTTGTGAAAATTTTGACAAAGTAAGTAAGAAACATCTTTTATTTATTTCAAGAAATACAAAATTATGTTTTGTTTTGTCTCAGTTCTTGAAGCAAATGTCGTATTGCCATTTCATTTTCATTTAACATTTGCGTACGTTGGCGTATTTGATGTGTTAGCGTTTTTCCCAACTCGACGTGCTTCTGAAGCATCCTTTCAACAATGAAATGCTGTTCATCTAATTGTTGTAGTGTGTCACGACAATGCTTCAGTAATACCGATGCCTTCTCAGCTGAAAATGTATGGAAAAGTTAGTTCACATTTGAATTTTTAGTTGGTGTGTGCTAAACCTCGGTGTTTCTTCTCTTCACATTCCTGTTCTACTTGTGCTTTAATTTCTTCAAAAGCGTGTTTGGTACCCTCTTTATATTTATCACGCAGAATACTTATAAAATCAACATGTGATATATAACGATATTGATTAGAGTTGTCGTTCGCAGACAAAGATTTGCTACTATCCATACTTAATGAAAAAGTTCGGTAAATATTGCTATATATTCAAAATGCAATTTGCCTTATGTTCGAAGAACTTCACACATGTGAAAAATATGGCGGCTTCCGTTTTACCGTTATAAAATTTTATAGCAAAGGAAGTAAGTATAAGCAGAACAATAAACAAGCTGAAAGCACTATTGAAATTAAAAGAAAACAAGACGTCATCATTTTTATACATACTTTGCATGGCATATTGTATTTATATGTAGGTGTTAATACTGCTACCCCTCAAAGCAAAGTGTATATCTGTAAAATTTAATGGATGCAACAATATTCTAACGATTAAAATATAAATTTTTTTTCAAATTGATAAAAAGATCTCAAAAAGCAAGCATTCAAAAAACTAGAAAGTAAATATTTTTGTTTGTAATACAAACTTCAACAACCTATTTTCAATTAAACCGTTTAATACATATATAATAACTTCTTTCAGACTAGTCTTGCAGGTACATCCAGCCCTACTCATACAAAAGCTGTTGGAACTTTATACAGTCCGATTGCACGTTTTAATATGACCGTAATTTACTATCATCGTCATATGTATCAAACTGCGATTGAGACACTTTTGCCGCTGGTTAATCAGTTAAAAGAACTTGAGGAGCATATATCTGTTCTAGTGAGTACATTCATGCTGCGTTTGCTGCTTGTCACAAATCAACTGCGCAGGGCAGCAGCTTTTCTAGAAATGCTACAATTGCCCGAGCACAAATCATGCCTAAGCTTGAACAGAGACGCGCTTATTGATGAAGATTGCTATTCTTGTGATATGACCACGGCGAATCATGAAAATTATTATTGTGCTTACAAATTCTTAGCAATACAGACTTGTGTACTGAACCGGAAACCAATTTTGGTCGCCGAAGATGGCGTAAGTAGGCACTGAGTATATTTAATTTTTAAATTGTAAACGTACTGTTTGTTTTTATTGTCCTAGTTGCCACATTTTGCCGCACTGAAAGCACATCAATATTACATAATGAAAGACTTCCAAATGGCGGCCAAACAATTGAAGAAACTTTGCGATCACTCTGAAATTAGTGATGAGTAAATAAACTTGATTGCAAATTTGAACATTTAATGTATTGTATTTTCCTATTTTATCACTTCTAGGCCAACTGCCAAGATGATCAATGCATGCATTGCCAACAACATGGGCGTTATCCACTTGCGCGTGCGTCATTATGCCATTGCAGCGAAATTCTTTCAAGAAGCTATATCATTTGACAAACATGTTGCTGCTAATTTGCGTGATATTTCGCTGTATCAAATGAGCACAACGCGTGCTTGTGAAATACTTTATAATATGGGTATTGCGATGCTGCACTTGCGCCGACCAAAAGAAGCGTATAAGTGTTTTTCTGTGCCGCTGAAAACACATCATAGTAATCCCCGTTTATGGTTTCGCATATCCGAGGCATGCATAATGGAACACGAAATGGTATGTGCTGAAAAAAACATACGTATGTATAAAATATTTACACAAAATTACCAAAAGAAAATGTGCTGAATTGTTTTTGCGGCATGTGCTATTAATTTGTTGTTGTTACTGTTGTAACTGGAGCGAAAGTCCTTGGCAGGATAAAAATTCTGGTCTGTCGCGGGAACTATGGAATTTTAGTCGCCTCTTAGCACAGGCATGCCTAACTATGGATAAACTCTTGAGCCCCTAACCCGCAGGGGCAACTATTAATTTGAGTTATAAATTGGTGAACGTGAGGTCTATTATTTTTGGAATAAGTAATAAGTGGGTATTTGTTTGTATGAACTGAATATACATTATATAATAAAAAAAAGTGATAGCAGTTTCGGAGATCACCACATCTCCTCATCTGTCTACTTATGACAGGCGGGTTGTCTAAAAACTAAGCCAACATTAACCATGTAATCTGCTGTTGTTGTAATGTTAAACTCGTTTTTAACAATAACAATAGTGTGGCTAGTAAGTGATGCTATAATTTTCAGAAAATGCTGGAAGAGGATAAGAAGCCAATGATTACATCTATGGTGCACACCGCAGGGCGTAAAATTTATTTTTTAAAACCAACTAAAGGCAATGTAGTATATTCGTAAGTATTATATTATTATATAAGCATTGTGAAAAAAAGTTGTCTTTATGAATATTTGCATATTCATTCGCAGCTTCGATGAATCCGGTCCAAATCTGCACTTTGCTGCATTGGCTTTACGTAATGCGCTAACTCTGACTACATACTATAAGAATGCTTATGATGTGACTGAAGATGATGAAACTCCTACGGGACGTGAGAAAGCGGATTGGCGTAATGTCAAGGATAATAACTTTTGCAGTCCATCGGGACCGGTTTCGAAGAAATCCCTCGATAATATGTTGTGTGCTATCTATGCGGCATACAGTTATGTCTCGCTACGTCTGGGCGATTATGTTTGCGCCTACGAGATGGCACAGGAACTGTTGAAGGCTGAAAAACTCTCCGATGCGCACAGGTAAATTATTAAATGGCATCTTTGTCAAAAGTATTTGATAGAATTTCGTCTTCTTCTTTTTATACTTTCCAGACTCTTAGCGCAGATGTATGCCGGCGAGGCATTATTAATGATGGATAAAATAGACGAGGCACGACCGCTTTTCGAACCCACATTTGTATCCTCATTGAATGCTTTTGATTTCGAGACAAAAGATTGGCGTGTGAAATCTTTGGATGCTGCGCAGAATGTTGTACGCTATAATTTGGCTGTGGTAACAGCCATGCAAGGTGATATTGACCTGTGCAAAACTTACTTGAGCAGTTGTACACATCCAATTGTGGCTGGCAAAGTTCTCTCGTTAAAAACTTATATCGATTTAAGAATGTCGAAAAGCCAACCACAAAGCTAAAATTAGCACTCACCATTTAGTACATATGTACATATATTGTATTTATAGTTAGTTTCGATAAATTTGAATTATGTTAGTACATAAATATATATGCATATGCGTTTCGTAGTTATGTTATCGTTTGTACTGCATTTGAAAAAGTAAAATAATATTTACAGTAGATATTTTTCCAAGGTATTTATTTCATTAAAAGAATTGTGCAACGAAAACGCTATAAAATTAGATTACGGATTATGATGGATTAAGTATTTCAAAACTATAAATCAAAGTTAACTGAACTGTATGTACAATCAATCGATTTACAGATAAGTAAAACAGTTGTTATTTATATTGAACATGAGTTTGCGTGCAATTCATGCTTATAAAATGTTGTCCCCAGCTTTACTTAGCTTAGTATTCTAGTGGTTGCTTTAAAATGAAGGTAGACATTGTGCTTCTTGCCATCGGGCTATTGGTGGCTTTTGTAAATGTAACGACAGCATTGACTTTTGACGAGGAGAGATTATCGCTTAAGAAATTTGTGACCTCTGTAAGTTTTAGGAGTGGCAGAAATGGTTCATGTTATTAAAAAATCTCTGCTAATCACAAAAAATTCCAATTCTTAGGCAGAGCGCATTCGTTCGCATGGGTATCCCACCGAAACGCACACTGTTGAGACCAGCGATGGCTATTTATTGACACTCTTCCGTATACCTTACTCACACAAATTGAAAAATCAACGTTCCTATCGTCCAGCTATACTCTTGCAACATGGTTTATTCAGCAACTCAGATTGTTGGTTGAGCAGCGGTCCCAACGATTCGTTGGCCTATCTACTAACCGACGCTGGTTTCGATGTCTGGCTGGGCAATGCACGTGGTAATATTTATTCACGCGCAAATTCTCAGATCACTTTCAGTAGTCCGAAATTTTGGAAATTCAGTTGGCATGAAATTGGCACTATCGATATAGCCGCCATGATTGATTATATACGTGATTTTACCGGTCAACAAGCCGTGCACTATGCCGGCCACTCACAAGGCACCACCGTGTATCTGACGTTGATGTCCACGAGACCGGAGTATAATCCTAAAATCAAAACGGCACATCTACTGGCACCGTGCGCATATTTTGCTCATGGCAGTCATCCTATTTTCCAACTGGGCGCTTTGGTTGGCACGCCCGGCGGTCTGTGGAATACCATACTCGAAGATATGGAATTGATGCCGAAAAATGATATTGTCAATCGTATTGCAGATACGCTCTGCGGCGTACAACCGAATTTAGGCAAGCAGTGTAAAGATGTTGTGTTATGGTATGCCGGCGATGGTTATCGCAATACAAATTTGGTAGGTATAGCAGAAAATTTGCATATGTACGAGTATGTATGTATCATTTTAATTTTCCAATATTTCAGACTTCCTTGCAAGTGCTAATTGAAACCCATCCAGGTGGTTCATCCAGTAATCAAGGCATACATTACCTTCAACTCAGCAAATCGCATAAATTCCGACAATTTGATTATGGCACTAAAAAGAATCGTCAGATTTACAATCAAGATACCCCACCAGATTATGATTTGAGCAAGATTACTGCTCGCACTTACTCATACTCCAGTGCTAATGATGCTCTGTGCGGTCCGCAAGATGTTGATACTTTAGTGGGAAATATGTTGTTGGTGGAGGATTATCGTGTACCAGATCCGTCATGGAATCACATGGACTTCATTGTAGCAAATGATATGCGGGAGGTGATCAACGATCGTATTGTGAAGGCTGTTAAGTCCTATGAGAGGATGTAATACGGTTTAGGACGAAAACAATTGTACAAAAAAGGATATAAATTTAAAATAATAAAAGTTTGAACATTTAAAAATATGTACGTGTATATGAATGTATGCATTCGAAAAATATGATGGCACTAACTGTGGAAGTCTTTTCTAAAAATTCCTCTCTTAATTTCCTGATGGTGGTCTTAAATATTAGTTTAAATTTGAGGTAAAGAGCTGTCTCGCCGACCTTTCTTACTTCTTCATTGCAAGACAAATACAGTTACAACCTGCGGCTGGGAAAAGACAAATAAACATTGCTGACGACATACAAGGTGATTGGCCGACCGGTTGTAAACTACGCTACCTTGATTTGGAGGCCGGGGACTAGGGGTCAGCACAGCGTACGAAAAGCTTTAAACGCCTTTCACCGAGAGTCCGTTAACACCTTCTTCAACTCTCTTCCAGAAGTCCAATCATAAACCATTTCAGACGAAAAGCTCGAGGCAGCTCGTAAAAATGGCACAATGGCACAATGAAGATAAGGATCTTGTAGTCCACTGAATTCCTACTTATCCCTACCTGACTCCGACAGCTAACGTACGCGATGTCGGCAAAAAAAAGGCCGAACAACACTAACCACCTCTTTCTATACCTCTTAAAACCTACTCATCTTACCTCTCTTTTCCCTCTGGTCTGAGCCTCGATGATTTGTACCGATGCGTCCCTTAAAGTCCAAAATAATTTTCCAAATCTTACGAAATCAAATGTGTACTCGAGAAAAACGTCCCAAAAATGAATTTCAACTTTTAAAAAATGGATTAGAAATACTTTGGGCTCAGTTTTTCCAATTCCATCATTAGCAGAGTCGTAAAGTTTGAGTTGAACCTGCCTTAAGTCTACTTCTTCCAGAATGTCAATCATGTCTAAGCTGAGCAGAGACGAAATATATTTTTATATCGAGAAAGAAGATAGAACTTTGTTTTTTAGAAACCACTGGCCTTGTTTAGTTTTCCGAAACGATAAGCCAGCAATTAAAATGTATGGCCATAAATTCATATGCTGTATGACATTTAT